CCCTTCCTTCCTCCTTTCTCTTACTAACAGGTAATGCAGAGATGCTGTTGAGCTGTCATCTTTTCAGTGGTGTGGAAATGGCTGCTGCACCTCCAGTCCAGGTAGGAGAGATGAGCGGCGGGAACAGCTTGGGTCCCTCCTCCTTTCTCAGGAGGGCGTTTGCTCCTGCGGTTTTTACAAGGTTCCCAGGCGAGAGGTCCTCTGAATGCCATTTCCTTTACCTACACCAAGCCTTCCATCCTGTACCTTCCCAGACTACTCCCTTCCAGTGTCAAGTCTCTGCCTGGAATGATCTCCGATGAGGGAATCTGCTTTTTCTTTCAGTCTACATTTTCCTTTGAGGAGGTGTCCATCGATTTCACGGAGGCAGAATGGGCCCTGCTGGATCCGGGACAACGAGCTCTGCACAGGGAAGTCATGCTGGAGAACTATGGGAATGTGGCCCTTCTGGGTAAGGATTTTTCATAGGCGCCAAAAGTATGAATTGTGCCCTTGTAAGGAGGCATGAATTAAAATATTGGAGAGGAAGACACCGTTCTGAGGCCTGCCTTGCTACTTGGGGAGGGGCTGTGGCTGACTGGCAGAGCATCTGCTCGGCATGCAGAAGGTCCCCGGTTCCTTTCCCAGCATTTCCAGTTTAAAGGATCAGGTAGGGGGTGATGTGGAAGACCTCTGCCTGGGACCCTGGAGAGCCGCTGCCAGACTGGGTAGACAGTACTGACTTCAGTGGACCAGGGGGGTCTGATTCAGTATAAGGCAGCTTCATGTGTACTTGCCCAGGGTCAGCTGAGGCCAGTGTTGTGGCCGTCACCCAAGCCAGAGAAGGTGTCCTAGTCTGAGGCAAAGGTGGGGATAAGAGGCCCTCAGAAAGACTCAGGAAGGGGCCAGATCCCCATTTCTGTTTTGCCAACCTTAACCATACACCTTTGCCATGCACCCTCCCATTCCGACATCCCCTCTGCCTGTGGTCTGGAAATGATCCTGTCAAGAACCGAAGCCTGAGTCCCCCTGAGTCACTACTCTTTGTACCTGAGCAGCACCCAGTTCAGAGATCTTCTTCAAGGTCTCGGTGCATCACACCATTGGGATATAGTGCGCCTGCGCCGATCCCGATCAGTAAATGGAAAGCTAAAAGGGATTTTTCATGCCCTTCCCCCGAAGCATGTGCTGGGGCTCCACTGCGCATGCCTACAGGGAAGGACACGAGGATCCTGCCAGTTTTCTTCCGACTGCTGTGCTGTTCGGACCTTTCTTCTCACTGGAATTGGAAGTATCCACAATCAGTCTTCAGTCTTGGGGCCATCCCACTGTAGATGCCTTCAAGACCAGACACAACACGAAATGCCCCAGCTTCACTAGGAGATGGGCTTCCTCTCCCATCGTTCTGCCAACATCTGTTCCTCTTCCCTTCCATCTCTCTCATCACCGGAATAATGAATAAGATCATGAGGGAGAACCCAAGGTGCATCCTAATTGCACCATGGTGGCCTTGCCAGCCCTGGCTTCCGACTCTTCACCTCTCCAGACGCTCATTCCACCACTTCCCAATGGTGGCGGATCTCCTGCTGTCCCACGGAGGCCTGGTGTTGCACCCCAACATTCCTCATCTGAAGCGAACAGCATCTGACGAACCTGCAACAGAGAATAGGTCAAGTCATACCGAATTGTAGAGAGCCCTCCATCTGTAAATCCTACGGGCAGAAATGGAAGAAACTTTTTTACATCCCTCACCTCTGTCAAGCTGCGTTCACCCCGCCCCCCTCAAGTCTTGAGACGATATTCGGCTTCCTACTCATTAGTGGACTCAGGACTCAGCCGCTCCTCCCTTTGGGTGCATTTGGTAACCATCTCTGCCTGTCACCCTCCTACAGATGGGCACTCAGTGTTCACACACCCCCTGACAAAGAAACTCCTCAAAGGACTCCTTTGTCTTTATCCACCAATACGTTATCGCACCCCAGCGTGGGATCTCCCACCAGACCTCACTGGACTTTCTGGCAGGCAGTTTGAACCCATGGCCTGCAACTTCTTTTGTGGAAGACTGCATTTCTCATCACCCGAACTTCCACAAGTTGGGTGGGGGACTGGTGGCCTTATGCTGTGTTAAACAAGTATAAAGCCACTATGTAAGTAAGCACTAAGATTATTGTATTGTCTCTTGTTATTGGTGTAGCACATATTCTAAAAATTGTATTTTTGTACACTACAGAATATCTCCTGAAGAAGATCCATTTTTTGAAATGTTATTATGTAATCTGGAGACGACATTGATTATGTACCTTAGTTCAAGGATTTTCTATTGATTTGTGTATCATGTTGTAGTGCTTTAGATTGCAACACATAAACAGCATTCTTTATAAGTCTTATGACTGTTTGATTGTGGGTCAGACTATCACGACTGTTGGCTTTATACTTGTTTAACTGATTGAGTCGTGTGTGTCCAGATTTTTTTTGGCCTTATGCTGTGACCATCCTTACCTGATTTCCCATCCTGACAGTGTCTCCTTGGCTCCTGACATTACCTTCCTCCCCAAGGTCATCTCAGAGTTCCACCTACAAGGGGACATTACTCTCCCAACATTTTTTCCATCTCCCCGGAATGATTCGGAATGCCATCTTCACTCTCTTGATGTCGAGAGAGCGTTCTCATTCTACCTGCATAGGACTCGGGACTCCCGTAAAACACCGGCTTTGTTTGGATCCTGTGCTCCACTTAAAAGAGGACTTCGACTCTCCTCACAATGGCTGTCCAGGTGGAGAGTAGAAATGATTAAACTCTGCTACCCGCTCGCCAAAAGGCCGCTTCCAGGACGCGTGCGTGATCACTGTACTAGAGCTTTGGCCACATCGGCTGCCTTTCTCAAGGGCACGTCTCTGTGTGATATCTGCTATGCTGCCACGTGGGCTGCATATGGTTGAGAAGCGAGATATAAGAAAGTGTAGCGTACATTTCCCACACACCTTTGTGAAGCATTACGCCCTTGACGCCCACATCCATCCGCATTGCACGGTGGGGCGTTTAGTGCTGCAAGCAGCGTGTGTCTGAGTCCCTTCCAGCACCCTTCTCCAGGCAGGCCTGAGCTTGCTATTATCCCAGTGGTGTGATGCACCACGAAGAAGATAGACAGGTTGCTTACCTGTAACGGGTGATCTTCAAGGGGCCATCTGTGCATTCACACCACCCTCTGCTCTCTCTTTTCTTGAGGCTTCTTGCAGCAGTCAGAAGGAACTGGCAGGATCCTTCTGCCTTCCTGTGTAGGCATGCGTAGTGGAGCCCCAGCACATGCCTCGGGGGAAGGGCATGAAAAATCCTTTTTAGCTTTCGGTTTACTTATCAGGATCGGCGCAGGTGCACTATGTCCCAATGGTGTGAATGCACAGATGACCACTCAAAGATCATCAGTTACAGGTCAGCAACTTGCCTTTTCTGCAGCTCAGCAACAGAAAAACCAGGAAACCGAACTGTTCTATCTAATACATGAAATACTTGGTATTAGATGGCACCTCTTGTTGCACCATAGAACTATTCATCATGATGAAGCAAGAAAATATCAATGCGTACTAGCCTGGCATGAACATAAAATTAGCCTGGCTTCCCTCTGGTCTATACCAGTATTAATCTTTCTACCTCTTAAAGGTCACATGGTCCTAATGACCCAATCAATGGTCCTCCTTGGTGGAGTTTTCCAGAGGCTGTCAGCGCCAGTGTTCAGTGTTCCCTCTAAGCTGAGTCAGTGTGAGCTAGCTCACAGTTTTTTAGCTCCTGGCTCACACTTTTTTGTCTTCGCTCAGGAAGGATGGCTCCAGAGAGAGCAAACTAATTTATGCAGGAGCCCAATCGCTTGCTCACAACTTTAATGCCAGTAGCTCACAAAGTAGAATTTTTGCTCAAAAGACTCGACAGCTTAGAGGGAACATTGCCAGTGTTCCCTCTAAGCTGAGTTAGTGTGAGCTAGCGCACAGTATTTTAGCTTCCGGCTCGCAGATTCTTGCCTTCACTCAGGAAGGAGGGCTCCAGAGCAAACCAATTTATGCAGCAGCCAAATCGCTCGCTCACAACTTTAATGCCAGGAGCTCACAGAGTAGATTTTTTTTTTGCTCACAAGACTCCACAGCTTAGAGGGACCATTGGTCAGTGCCCTCCTAATCCCCTCTCCCTCCTGGTTACACAACCGGATACAGGCTCTCACAATCAACCAGTGACCACTTTCTAGGTCTGGCCTTGGAAAAGATAAGGATGTTAGCTGCAGGGAGGCTCCAGTCACAAACCCCTGCAACTCAAGAGTAGGCCACTTGATAATCATATTAACCATTGAGGAGGACGAGGGCACTTTACCTCAGAGATCCATTCCCCTGATACTGGTTGGGATTGTGGGCTTTGATCTTGACCATGGTTCTGTTCTTCCAGAAGAATTTGTACTTTTTCCTTCCCCATATAAGAATGATCACTTTCTCTTTCTCTCTCACTGTAAAAGAAGCCAGAAGTAGGAGAGAGACCATGGTGGAGAAAGACAATGGCCTGGCATCCAAAGAAAGGCTGGAGAGTTCCTCAAGAGGATCCCAAGAGCATATGTGCTTCCCAGATGAGCTGACTGAGAGTGAGTATCCTTTACAGTTACGTCAAGAAAAATTAATGAATAGCCATGGGGGCTGATTCTCTTCGCTTTGTTATAATCATACAGACTGCTGGGCAAGGAGGAAGGGAGACCTTCTGGGGGCCTGAAATCTGGAGGCTCAGAAGCTCCTGGGCAAGAGCTCAGCTGTGGCTCTTGAGGGGGGTGAGGTATCTTTAAATACTAGATATTCTGGGGAAAGGTGGAGGGATGGTTAACATCAGCCAAGCTGGTCAAGGCCAAAGGGCTGTCAATCCTTTCCTCCTGAAGTCATAGATGCCTTTGGACCTTACCAACCCCCCCCCCCTTGGTGCTAACAGGATATCTCTGTTTATTCCAAAAGAGGATGATCGGAGGAATCAGGAGGGTGAGGAACTTCGTCAGCAAATGTCAGATACAGTTCAATATGAAGACCTGAAAGAACATGTAAGGAACCGAGGCAGACCTAAGAGAAAGAAAGGCAGCCATATGGTTGAGAAGCGAGATGTAAGAAAGTGTAGCGTACATTTTCCAAAGCCCAGGATAATGAAGGCAAGTAAATCCATTAAGTGTGGAAAGTACTTCCGAAATAGATCACAGCTCTTTGTGCACCAAAGAATAAACAGAGCGGAGAAACCTCTTGAATGCTTAGTATGTGGAAAGAGATTCAGTCAGACTGGCATTCTTCAACTGCACCAAAGAACCCACACAGGGGAGAAACCTTTTGAATGCTCAGAGTGTGGAAAGAAATTCCGTAGGAGTGGCCATCTTCAACAGCATCAGAGAACCCACATAACAGTGAAACCCTTTGAATGCTCAGAGTGTGGAAAGAAATTCCGTAGGAGTGGCCATCTTCAACAGCATCAGAGAACCCACATAACAGTGAAACCCTTTGAATGCTCAGAGTGTGGAAAGAAATTCCGTAGGAGTGGCCATCTTCAACAGCATCAGAGAACCCACATAACAGTGAAACCCTTTGAATGCTCAGAGTGTGGAAAGAAATTCCGTAGGAGTGGCCATCTTCAACAGCATCAGAGAACCCACATAACAGTGAAACCCTTTGAATGCTCAGAGTGTGGAAAGAAATTCTTCACAGTAGCAGTCTTCAAGTGCATCAAAGAACCCATACAGGGGAGAAACCTTTTGAATGCTCAGAGTGTGGAAAGAGATTCAGTCACAGTGGCATTCTTCAATTACACCAAAGAACCCACACAGGGGAAAAACCTTTTGAATGCTCAGAGTGTGGAAAGAAATTCAGTAGGAATGATCATCTTCAACGGCATCAGAGAAACCACATAACAGAGAAACCCTTTGAATGCTCAGTGAGCGAAAAGAGATTCAGTGAGAGTGGCACTCTTCAATGGCACCAAAAAACTCAAAGAGAGGAGAAACCTTTTGAATGCTCAGAGTGTGGAAAGAGATTCCATTATAATGGCTATCTTCAGCTGCATCAAAGAATTCACACAGGGGAGAAACCTTTTGAATGTTCAGAGTGTGGAAAGAAATTCAGTAGGAGTTACACTCTTCAACAACATCAGACAACCCACACAGGGGAGAAACCTTTTGAATGCTCAGAGTGTGGAAAGAGATTCAGACACAGTTGCAGTCTCCAACAACATCAAAGAACCCACACAGGGGAGAAACCTTTTGAATGCTCAGAGTGTGGAAAGAGATTC